ACAACACAAAAATTTGCACAAAGGCGGCAGCCATGTTGTGTCAATTATCGGAAGTACTAAGTACCAAGTTCGTTTTGTTGTGTTGGTACCTCAACGTTTTTCTGAATGTTGGTACACTGAATGTTACGAACTCCATACAAAATAATGTTTGTTCTAAGTTTCACAAGACTGATTGAACATTTGCTATCTCACAGTGATAAGATAGTTCAAGAATAAAATTGGTTATCGTGCCATATGAGAAGTAGCAACTAGATAATATTGTAGTTAAAAGTTGAGACTTCTTATTTTCTTGTAACTTATTTAAGTAAAAATGTTGTTTCCAAAGTTGCTAAGATACAATTCAATATTAAAGAATAAGGCAATCCGTTTATTCGCGACTAACACGCAACAGCAAACAGAGAATGTAAGCCCTGTAGTGTATGAGAAGTTATTGGGAACCGACAGAGGTATTGCTTTGTATGGGTTACACAGTCCCAAAAATCGCAATGCATTGAGTTTCAATATGATCGAAGCTATGAGAGAAGTCAACCAATTGATCAGAGAGGACACCAAAATATCTGTAGTTATACTTCACAGCATGGTGCCGGGGATATTCTGCGCCGGTAAGATTTGTCAACTATTACCACTAGCTTCTGCCCGCGACTTCGTACGCGCAATCCCGTTCTATCCCGTTTCCGTTCGTCATTTTCGGTAAAATGTAAAAAATAACAATTGGATAAAAGTGTCCTATGTCCTTGTATGACTTCTGTTTTTAATCTTCCTCCCCACCACACTTTATCCAAATCAATGTAGTCTTTATGAGTTATAAATAGTGTAACTAACACTATTTTCTCTTATACATACAGATTACTAATAACTATAATTACCTAAATTTTGTAAACAACTATTCTGAACATTCTTATATAGGTATCTCATTATACAACCAGGAAAAACAAATTTAATTGAGCAGCTTGATCTCTGGACACAGTTACTGTATGAAATGCAAATATAAGATTGTCAAATGTTAGGCTGCCCGTAGTGGACTAAGCATTGTCACTGTGGGGCCCATGGTTGTAATTAGTTTCATGCAATATTATTAACTCGTTGAGTATTGTCATTATAGACACAATTAAAGAACAATAGGTTGCGGTCACCGGTGACCTCGCGGTGTTTGACAGTTTAATGCGAAAATATTAGAGTTTGTGTGTATGTTTGTTCTCAGTCACATCAAAACGGCTGAAGGGACCGGGATGGAATTTGGAACAGAGGGAGATTATGGTCTGAAGTAATACGTACTACTTCTTTACCCCTGGGAATGTGGGCGGAGCGGTTGGCAGAAGCTAGTACATAATATAATACTATAAATCAAAGTATATAAATACTTTCTTATAAAGATCTAGGCAGACATGAGAACCAGGAAAGTTAGGGAGCTCCATAACCGTAATCGAAACTATTGGATATCTGATATAAAAAAATAAACCATAACCGCATCCGAAATAAAAGTTTTGGATATTATCAGTTTTTTTTAAGGGGGGAAAAATCATCGAATGACTGCTCCCGCCTGGGTGAGGCGGGAGAGAGTGTCAGACTCTTGACTGACTAAAAACCAGCCCGTTTCTTCTCCTGCACTTCGACCCGGAGCCCCGGTTACCCGTTAGGTTTTCCGCGACTCCGAATCGGCATCGGCCCTGTTGGGCCCCATCTGTGGTGGTCTGATAGATTTTTACACGAGACAGTTCTCAATGTTAACCTTGGCGCAGCTGGGCTTTGCACGAGTGTGGCAGGCACCCAATCATTTGAACTTTGAATTTGAATGGCAAAGCGCATTGGAGTAATCCAATATAATTATGACAATAACATCAAGTGTCTGTGCCACACATGTGAACACTTATGAGAACAAATAAGTGCTTCGCGGCAGCAATATACTGTGTAGCGATGAGTAGGATATTAGCAACTACTTATCGTCTGAATGCCACTGGCCTTTACGATAACGGCATTTACATCACAGGTGTTTACATTACACAACTACATACATACACATAAGTATAATTTATCTGCACGGTTGGGGGCTGGGCAACCGGCTGCAATGGAATTTGTTGCAGGTTCGATTCCCGTATGGAGCAACTCTGTATGATCCACAAATTGTTGTTTCTGGCGTAGGTGTCACATTCACACGTGTAAAATTGTAGGCTTAAGGTCACCACACACTGTACAAACTGTAACCAATACAGCTCCGGTACGGCGATTTTTTGCATTGGAAACAACACAAAAAGTTTTTTTATATTGACATTATGAAATATGTCATACGACATACGATTTAAAGTTCATAATTTAAATGACCAGTTAATTACTGGGTTGGAGTCTTGCCGGAGCCAAGCTTGTTAGGTATGCGATGACCTTTATAAACGCACCGAAGTTACAGTCTCTGAACGCACCCACAACACGAAGCAAATCATAGGTACTTTGTTTGCCTTTATCTGCTCTAGTAAATAATTAACTTTTGTGTTAAACACTTAACAGGTGCCGATTTGAAGGAGCGATTCAAAATGTCTGATGATGAAGTTGCCAAGTTCGTCAAAGGACTCCGAGCAACATTTATAGAAATTGAAGATCTGCCCATGCCAACAATCGCGGCTATAGAAGGTGTAGCTGTGGGAGGTGGCTTGGAGCTGGCCTTAGCATGTGACATCCGAGTTGTGGCTGAAACAGCCAAGTTAGGGCTCGTTGAGACTGGTCGGGGTCTTATCCCTGGGGCGGGGGGTACCCAGAGATTACCCAGAGCTGTCAACATCAATATAGCCAAAGAACTTATTTACACTTCAAGAGTAGTCACTGGCAAGGAAGCAAAGGAATTAGGTTAGTGTGGACTCATGGTAGTCATTGCTGACAATACACAGAGGCCTTAGTACGAGTTTCATTTACGTTTAAAGTATTCGAAACGAGTACGCGTTCGGCACTCTGATTGGCCGGCGCCAATGAAGCAACCAATCACAGCGCCGAACGCGTACTCGTAACGATTACGCGTAGAACAAACTCGTACTAAGGCCTCAGGTAGGTAGTTCAGTATTAACGTTTCGTGAACGAATTAATAATGTGACCGTAATTTGCAGGCGTTGTCAATCACGTAGTACCACAGAACACCGCGAACAATGCAGCTCTAGAAAAGGCTTTATCTTTGGGGAGAGAGATAATACACAATGCACCAATTGCTCTCCGTTGCGCCAAGCAGGCAATCAATGAAGGAATACAACTCAGTATCAAGGATGGCTATGAAGTCGAGCAGAAATGTTATGAGATAAACATACCCACGAAAGATCGCAAGGAGGGTATGATATCTTTTATAGAGAAGAGAAAACCAATTTACGAAGGTCATTAGAATATAATTCATTGGGCTATTGGGAAGTCTAAGAGTTGGTACATGGTATAATAAATGGCTGTAATCTGTTAGTCAAGAACATTTGTTGGTAATCTGTATGGTACATAATGAATGATGCCAATGGGGATGATGACAGGGTATGAAAATTAAAAATATAATTAGTCCGTAACTTAGGTAATAAAAAAATATTAGACACGTATTTTTTTATTTTGTTGTATAATAAAACAATACTTAGATAAAACGAATCAAAGTTTAGGAGTGGGGGCTAAAACGTCATTTCTTAGTATAAAATGTACTGAGAAGTGACGTCACGCGACATTTCAAATCAATATATCTTCGAAACTATTCGTTTCCGTAAGAAAATAAAAAATACGTGTCTAATGTTTTTAAATAATCTACCAGACGGACATTAAAATAAAAATTAGTCATCTACCCTATTCCGTCGTATCCTACACCAAACGAATTGGTAATGATAAATGTGATAAAAATATTAAGTACCGTCTTGTTGTGTACCTAATGTTTCACGCACATAAGTAATTCTGTCATAATATTTAATATCTGTTACGTCTCGGGTCACCTGTTGGAACTTGGAACCTACAAATAAATTACGACCTTACGGGTGAATGAGCGACGACTGTGCCTGTGCCTGATTATAAAATAATAAATCAGGTAAAATGTTACTATATGTACATATTTTTATATTACGCATTATGATTATGATTAATGTTCTGTTATTCAAAGTATACAAACATTTGATGATATCTACTAATCTACCATTATAGATACATTGTAGTAGACCTAATGAATGCATTGTAATGAATCTTAAATAATGGTGTAAGTATAACATATAATAATATATTTTTATAAACTTGTAGAAATATATTTTCTTGTTGTTGTTCAAGTTCCCTATCATTAGATATATATAAGTGTATATAAATCTCCAGAACGAATACATTGGTTCGAATTAAATATTTTTGTGTTGAATACTCCTTTTATCGAAGCAGGCTATAGGCTAATAAACATCACGCTACGATTAATAGGAGCCGAGCAGAGGTAAAAACCGTGTTATATGATAAATGGACAAAAAATGTTGGTAACATGGCTCAAGGCCCGACCTGACCCGACCCAGCATTTCTCTATTCTCTAATTTAAATAATGAATTCGTACCTTGTACTTACCTACCTAGTATTTTGTTTTGATTATGTTTGTGAAGTTGTTCTACATCATAGCTTACAAACCTCTACTTTAATAGGTACTGATCTCAAATTTCAACTATATAGCTTTCTAATATAAAAATAATGTCAGTAGTTTCAGTGCCTTTAGGGTAGGTATGGTTTAAAACAAACAAAAAGAAGTTTATCTTTATATTCATTTCACAATAAAATTATATCATCAGGTTATTACAGGTCAGACACCACTATTGGTATCATCTTGTACTTATCTCTAATAATTCAGAGAGTTGCTAAGTAGGTAGTACTGTACATTGTTTGATTAAACCTTATTTGAGAATTTTAAAATAATGTCCTCACTGTAACAATTTTGTAATATGTACATAATCATTATAGTACAAATTTAATGCATCATAAAAAAATATAACAGTGTAAGGAATCTCTTGATATTTATGTAATAATTTTATTGAATATTGAGGCACCTAACTACTTGTTCTTTGGTGTCATCTGGAGATGTAACTTTGTGACCAACTGTCCGTGGGTCATTGTAAATCTCATAATCATTACCACCAGCCATTGTTTTATCTCCAAAAAAGTGTATTTGTTCAAAATGTTGGTCTGCTACATGATTGAGGCAGTAAGTCTTGTCCCAGCCTGTAGGGAAGACATCCACACTGATTTGTCCTCCGAGTGCAAATGTCAAACCTGAACCTTCAAATTCAGCTTTTAATGAATCAACAAATTTTTGTCTTATACAATGGATAGAGTCATACTTTACAAACTCATCTCGCTCAGCCTGGCTGCAAGACCTTCCCACAGGGCAAATATTAATCATGCTTGATCTGAACTCAACAAAGTTACCACGCTTAGCTGGTAGCTCGATCTTAGACATATATCCAAGTGAGAAATTGATGACTCTTTGTAACAACTTCTCTCCGAGGTGACTCAGGATACTTTCAGAGCTGATCAGCTTGCCATTACGATAATAAACAACACCATTCTCACAAAAAACGTAGTCGAACTTAGCTGCCACTTCCGCCCCATCCATTTGTTCAGCTATTTTAACATAATCGGATCCACTGACAAGTCCCACAGTTACTTTAGATTTCACATCATCTAACAAAAATTTTTTCAGTTCCTCTGTTATAACCTGCCGCGGTTTGGTAAGGGTACCATCTACATCAAAAAGATACAAAACTGATTTCCGGCTAGACATGTTATCGAAATATATGAAGATCTCTAGTAGGCAATAAAAATCAATTCAAATTTGGAGGCAGTCTGCAATTTGAAAAAGCCGGTCTTATGTAGGACACTAATCAGCAGCCCGCTACTTCCCTCCTACCACTTCTACCACTGGCACCGTATAACCGTACTAAGAAAGCGAACCGCGCCAACACTTTAGTGGACACGTCACAGTCAAATATCTGCCAGTTATCAGCTGACAGCCGCGAAGGTGGCGGAAAACATGGCGTACGAATCAAGTACTGTTTACACACTGATAATTTACTTCTTTATCACTGATACCGTATTATCTGATAAAGTTACTAAACCTGGAAATGTTCTTATACTTTTGGGTGAGTTAAAAATCATATTGTGCAGTGCGATAAGTTTTAGCCCGTGGCCGTTTATAGTCATCCGTTATTGTATTGTTATCACTCAGATCGGTTTGACACTGACACTTGACAGAAGTGACAGACAGCTGTGTATACGTGTGTCTATTTAATATGTATTCATCTATGGTGTCTATTGCCCATAGTGATTGCCTACAATGTCCAAAGAATAAAAATGGACTTGCCTTAATGTACTGTGTAATTTAAATGTGTATTGAAATATATATCTGAGACATTGTAGAAAATACTTTATTAAAAAGAGTAACGAATGGAGTTTCTTGCTCGTTCTTCTCCATTCGAATCTACATTTTGGCATGATGAGCACCTAACTTCATTGACGGACTGACAGACTCATTTATTTTGTACTAGCGACCTGCCCCGGCTTCGCACGGGTGCAATATGTATATACATACAAACCTTCCTTAAGAATCACTCTATCTATTAAAAAAAACCGCATCAAAATCCGTTGCGTAGTTTTAAAGATCTAAGCATACATACGGACATACAGCGAAAGCGACTTTGTTTTATACTATGTATTGATTGATTTGTTAACGTTTCAAAAGTACCAAATTATGGTTTAATTAAAATAAATACTTTGACTTTGTCTTCGACTTTGTACAATACAAACAACGTAGATATACAAATCCAATGCTATTATTGAATCGAAAAGACAAAATATATTCCGATTGATTCTGATCTCTTTTAATCGTAATGTCGAAAGAGATACATAGATATTAGTGGTTACTTGAAATGGTAACATTTTGAGTGTTAAGTCACATTGGACCAGCATGGAAGTGGAGTTCAGCGTCGTATTAATATTTGTATGTATATTGTAATAACTAGCTTTTACCCGCGGCTTCGCTCGCGTCACAAAAAGATAAAAAGAAGCCTATGTGACTATCCATCCCCCCAACACCTTCAGTTAAAAAAAATACGTTAAGTACCTCCGTTTTGCAGTTTCAGACAGGCAAACAAACAAATAGCGTGGAATTCGGTTAAATCGCGCTTTTTAGATTTTTCCGTGGGAATGGGGAGTTCTGCCGCGGTAAAGCCTTGCTTTTCCAGGACTCAAACTACCTTTATACAAAATTTCTTCAAAATCCGTTCAGCCGTTTAGCGTGAAAGAACAACAGAAGGAGTTATTTTCGCATTACCACAAATACCATCCTCCCATTTTAATTTAAAAGACTTCTATATGATATCCTATATGGGTTTAATTTGCAATGTTAAACCTAAACTGAATGGTAAACTATATTATACGTTTTATTATCGAAAACCTAACTGCTTTAGACATCTACTTAGAAATAAACCACTTGACTAATCCTAATGGGTAACCGGGGCTCCGGCTCGACGTGCAGGAGAAGGAACGTGGTGGTTTTTAGTCAGTAAGAGTCTGACACTCCCTCCCGCCTCACCCAGGCGGGAGCAGTCATTCGAAGATTTTCCTCCCTTAAAAAAACCTATCTAATATATAGAATAGCTACTGTATCAATCAACGTAAACAATGAACAAAGCGACTTAAGACGACGAAAAAAAAACTACTTTAGATATTATCTATCTAGAAAAAATAACACTTGACTAATCAAACCTACAGAGCGAACGAATAAATTTATTTTTATTCAATAAAAATCTATAATAGTGCTAGATGCGTACACCGAAATATAATTGTTTCGGAAGCTCGGAACCTATACTTTCGCCGGTAACGAAAGCATCTACGCCATCTAACTCGATCTTAACGCCATCTATCGAGCGTTGAAACAACAGTGTACAAATTATTTGCTTATTGTTGAGTATTGTTGCCACTATGATTTCTTGTACCTTTAACAACCTAAAAAAACTCCATAAAACTCCACAAACAACTCTATAAAATACGCAATTTATTGTGAGATAGTTGGAACCAAAATTTAAAAGCGAAAAATACTTAAAAAACAACCCCCGTTTATTAAACACTCAGCGCCATCTATCGCCAAGTAGCGTAACTACTACACAACGTTACCACGTTGTGTTTTAAGTATTTTTACATATAAAACAGCAAATAAATGAGTCGAAAAGTGCACCGAATAAGTGTAGATTAACACCAAATAAGCGCTATAGATTAAAGCGTGAAATTTCCAATTAAAAGGTAATTAGTTGAATTGTTTTAAATGACTTAAAGCGCCAATCTATACGAATACACACAACATCTATACTAATATTTTTGTTTTCCCTCGGGAATATCACATTTTGCCGGGATAAAAAGTACCCTATGATTTAATCTGGACTTCTAACTTTACGTCTGCAAAATTTCAAAGCAATCATTTTAGTAGTTACGGCGTGAAAGCAGAACAAACAAACAAACAAACTCACTTTCAGATTTCAAATTACGTTTACAGACGTCACTGAGCGCGGGAAACACTTTTGGAAAGGATCGCGATTCGCGGCGGTGGCGGCAGCTAGAAGCGTTACTCCCCGCTAAACATCCTGCGTTCTTCGCCTACCATTTTTACGTGTAATAATTACATTGTTTCGGCATGTGCCATAGTTCCCAATTTACCAGTCCACAGCAACCCATCCATAGCTCTACCTTTATTTTTTCCATTATTCACAATACTTCTACACTAACCGGGGACAGTCCTTGGGTGCATTTACATAGTGCATACAGAGATAGTCGCCGGTTTGTGTGTCCATTACATTTAGATTAAAGCTGTCACTCCGGCCGCGATGCACAGTCGAGTACGGACGTGTGTACCTACGCTGCTCGCAACGAATATTTTATTCGCAAATTGCGCGGCTATAGCCGCTGCCCGTGTACGTAGCAATGAGTTCTAAACCTCTCATAGCAAACGAGTTATTGGCATTCTTGAAGCATGCCATTGATTATATGGACGAGGTCAGCATCTTGCAGATCTGCAACTCTGCCTTGAAGGAAGCAGAGATATGCAGTGCTAAGTTGCTGTTGTTCCAGACGCTCGGCAAAATCGACCAGATGCCGTCTCGCCGGAGAGATGGTACCGAGAAGAGTATCCAGGACATAATCACCCTGATGAAAGAGACTGACCCGGATGACGTGCCCGATTTCGTGGTGAAGGACCTGCACAAACTGCCGCCCATCACGTTTGACCACGTCGACGTAACCAGGCTTCTTAAGGACATTACATCCCTCAAAGTTAGCCTGGCCGAGCTGCAGTCAAAATTGGAGGTATCAAATAACACCATATGTGACTTACGTGCCGAGGTAGTGCTGTTACGCAGCGCTGTTTCGGTAACTGGGTCACCTGACGCCTCCAATATGAACACACGACATGGAGCGGAAAACGCTGCGATCAGCAGTTCGTTGGTGGCGAGTGCGTCACCCATTAAAACTGCAAGCGTAGCATCACGCGCCACCGCCGCCTGCGCTTCGACACCGGTGCAAGTACAGGCTTGTGTAGGTACGTTGACCCCTAAACGTGCCTATGCAGATATCGTTGCCGATAACCAAACTGAATCGTCGCAGAAAAAGCAAGCGGCCAATATAAAACGGGGTCAAGCAAACCAGCCTAGTCTGAAAAAGGACAAGCATGACAATGAGGGCTTCATTAAGGTAGAAAGGAAGAAGAAGCCTCTTTGCCGCAACCAGTGCGGTACCGCGCTGGCAGGACCCAACATGCTGCTGCGTCCAGCGACACCCACGACGCTGCTGTACGTGTCCCGACTGCATCACTCCACGAAGGCAGAGGATGTCGTGGAGTATTTGCGAGTGAAGACGAACTGGACCTTGAGAGTAGAGAAGTTGGAGTCGCGCCACAATATTAACTTCAAGTCGTTCGTGGTGCGGGTTCCAACACATGATCTTGAAACCTTTCTCAAGGAACAGTTTTGGCCGAAGAGTATCGTGTATCGGCGTTTCCGTGGCCGGCTACGTGATACCAGTCAGTGAAACACGACGCCGTCTCTTCGTGTGCAATATTTATAATTATGAGTTTTGTTATTGTATATCTATTAGTTTATTGATGTTTTAATTTTTTGATATTTATAAGTTTTTAGTTTTGTATTGTATTTTTATTAGTGTACCTCTATTATATTTTATATGGGCCACAGTTGCCTGAAATAAAGAAATAAATAAAAGGCCTTTGCGCAGTTGGCTTCGGCCCCTCGTACGTAGTAACTATTAAGTAACCTGTGCCCTCGTACGCCTCCCAAATGACCTGTGGTCCCGTGAATGGTAAAGACGTATATAATAATAAACTATATTCAGATATGTAAATAGATCTCACATGGTTAGGTGCCTGTACTAGGATAATCCTGTAACACAGGCGAGAGTAGATCTAACATAGTTATAATTTTATTGTAATACATTCTTATTTCTACAAACATAATACTTGACATAATGAATTCTGACAAACTAAAGTATGACTATTTAATATACATACATAGCCTCACGCCTTATACTCCCGGAAGAGATAGGCAGAGGTGAATCAACTTAAGTGTAACATGACAATATAGTGTAGGTAATTAGCTTAGGTATGCAATACTCAAATAATTCAAATTACGTTTTATGTAAGACAAAAACATATTATTTATCACTACAGTCTAAGAATTACTAGCATCGGTAAAACTAGGTTTAAGTCCACAATCGTACACTTGCTGTTTTAGTACAAATTACAATAATGTGCTTAGACAGCAACTAGATGATGAGTACGTCAACCTGCCTATATTGCGCAACTGTAATATATACACTTAAAGTGTTTTATAGAGGACATAAAGGAGAATTCGCGATGATTTTATTGCGTTGAGCTGTAAAATCGTTACATGTTTACGTGATAGGTACTCATACTTTCAATGGGAAAAGTCAATAAATACATCGTTGGTTACCAAGAACACCTACCGGCTGGCGGCTACGTCCTGCAGTACTGCCACTGCTCGGACAGGGAGCGGACTTACAATAAAGCCACGTACTTACATGGATTGTACTTTGTATTATTTACAGCGGATGATGGAGGTTTCGAGCTCGGCGCGTACATGAACAAGATATGCCAAACTCCGAACATCGACGCCCTTGCACAGCGTGGTCTACTCTTCAACAATGCCTTCACTTCAGTTAGCAGCTGTTCTCCAAGGTTTTGAAGAATACTATATTTAAATAAAAGCTTATTATTTGAAATAAAACGTATGTACATAACCTCAGGCCCGTCTCCCATGGGGGAAGGCAGAGACTATATGGCCATAAGGATGGTACCAAGGTAACTAAGGTATGAAGGGTTAATTGTGGGAGAGCCATGCTACGGGACGAATGGGCCGACTCGACCAGAGTGATACCACGGCCCAGCAGAAGACCGACATGAAGCAACCCTTGCGTTGTGTTTAGTCGTGTGAGCGAGGTTACCGGAGGCCCAATATTTTTAAAAAACTTGTTCCTTTACTAGGGTTTCTTCTGTGTCGTGGGTGCGTTTACAAACATATAAGTTTACATACACATGACGCCCAGACCAGAAACAACAATTAATGGATCACACAAAGAGTTGTTCCGTGTGGTGATCGCAACCGCGGCCCGCGACACGTGCGCGGCAGCCGGCCGCCCAGCCGCCGCGCCAACCTAGTCTATCTTTTATTTTATATATTTGATGGGCCGCCGTTTGACCACTATCTCGCCTGTTGGTGAGCGATGATGCGGTCGACGGTCGTACGATGGAGCACGTCGTCCCATAAGCAACCTATTTACTCGGGCCTTGAACACAGTAATACACCCAGGTTATACCTTTCTTCTTTTATTGCATCGATTGTTGAACTTCATCGCTCAACTCGTTTACATTCTCATAAGATTTAATGTAAATCTTATGAGAATGTATGTATAATCCCCACAAAATTCATTATTGATACACCCTGACGATGCTGACGATCAATGCAATACAAGTACAGGGTGCAACTTTTACAGATTTTAGTCGGTTGATTACCGTGGGCGGCTAGCAAACTTTTAAAAATCCCACTAATTTTAAAAAATTAAGTTTTCTTTTTTTCGAAAATAAAGGAATGTTTTCTTTGAGTAAAATTTTCTATTTTTTTATTCAGATGGCATTACAAAACTAAAAACAAACAAAAAGTCAAACTAAAAAACAAATAATAACTATAATATTAGTAGATACCTACTGATAGGTTACCCACCCACTGATAGGTTAGATGTCACCGCCATATTCCATCGCCTCATGGAAATGGAACCATCTCGGGAGTCTTTCAAACAAAACAAGAATTTTGGAAATCGGTTCTCAAATGGCAGAGTAATCGGCGAACAAACAAAAAAGAAAATCAGCCGAACATAGTACCTCCTCCTTTTTTGAAGTCGGTAAAAATTCCACCGTATACCTCTATAGTTAGTTTGTCTATCAATGGACTGTCCAACACATACATAATTATTCAATTCGGAACAATAGTTCCGGAGAATGGCGCGTTCAAAGTAATATACGTACTCTTCAGGTTTATAAGAATCGATTGTTTTAAAACAAGAAATGTTATCATGGCCTAAAGGCAAACGTGACCATAAAGTCTTGTGCTACCTGGCTCCGCGGCGTAGGCAGCTACGTGTGCCGTGCGCTGTGCGCCTGATTGATATTGTGTTCGCCCGCAGCCGCGCCGCGCTGCTCACGGGCACGCCGAGCCACCAGAACGGCATGTACGGCCTGCACCGCACCGTGCACCACTTCAACTCGTTCGACACAGTCACCAGCCTGCCCAACCTGCTGAGCGCGCACAATGTCACCACCGGTGCGTTTTTATATCTGCGGCCTTTGTACGACTTTGTTTTACGTTTAAAGAAATCGTAACGAGTACGCGTTCGGCGCGGTGATTGGTTGGTTCATTGGTGCCGGCCAATCAGAGTGCCGAACGCGTACTTGTTTCGAATACTTTAAACGTAAATCAGACTCGTACTAAGGCCTCTGTATGTTTATACTTTGTTTTATTATGTAATACACAATTTATTATTTTATGAGTATCCCGAAACGTTTCATCGACATACGTTTGAGAATTGACTCAACGCGTTGATCGTCACCCGTCAGGTATTATTGGCAAGAAGGACGTGGGGCCGGCAGCACAGTACAAGTTTGACTACGAGCAGACCGAGGAGAACAACCACGTGAACCAGGTCGGCCGGAACATTACGCACATCAAGCTACTCACCCGGGAGTTCCTCGCTAAAGCTAACCGTGACAAAAGGTACCCACGTAATATGTATCTAAAATATTTGTATTAAACTTTCGTGAGACATACTAAATAAATTATTATGTTCTCGGCTTACTCACGTAATTATTTGACGAGGAACTCGACTACTTTCAAGCCATAGTAGAGGCTCATGTTCATGAGCAGCATTTCGCATTTCGCGACCCGCGACGCGGCGACTGTCGCGCTGCCCGGCGCTGCTACTCGAGTCTGCGGGCCCAGCGCGCCCTCTGCCGTGATTCACGCGCACTTTCCTCTATTTGTGGTATCGACGACGGCGGCGCGCGCGACATTTTTGGTACGCTAGACTCGCGCCCGCCGCTAGCTGCGTTCGTGTTAGGTTCGAATCCCCGCTCGACGCAAAAACAGTGTTACATACCGCGCTCACTGTGTCACACTCCAGACCCGAGACACTGTAGTCTGACGCAGATTTCAGACTCGGCTTCCAGGCTGACGCAGGCAGGTGGTAATGCCCAGCCACTGTCTCTGTTAACGTTCGGACGACGGCTTATATTGATGGCCTCACGTACTTTCCGCGGAACGAAGTATTTCTCCCTCGCCAGTACTGAGACCTTGTCGAAACGGAGGAAGTGAGCCGTGCCCGTGCTACACGCGTGCTCGGCTACTGCCGATATATGAGTATCACGGTTCTTCACACTGCGTATACATGTGTTCCTTAAGTCTGGTCGTGATGTTGCGACGAGTTTCCCCGATGTAAGTCGAGCCACAGTCGCACGGTATCATGTGTCGCGAAATGCTGCTCATGAATATGAGCCTCTAGCATGGCTTGAAACTAGTCGAGTTCTTCGTCAAATAATTACGTGAGAAAGCCGAAAACATAATAATTTATTATAAGATATTATTGGACATCCCACATTTAAAAAGCACGGCTCCAACCCATTTGATATGGATACATTTCGTAACGATAATGCAAAAACCGACGGCGGGTTGTCAGCCCGCGCCGCGGTCCACTCGAGGTGTAGCGAGGCGCCCGCGTGATTAAGGCGCGTCGCCCGCGCGGCGTCGGCGAGTTGACGGCGAGCCACCAGGCGCCAGCGAAACAACATCGTAGGTAGGTATTGTAATGCTACATTTACACTCTCGCGCAAGATTACACAAGGCTGAGGTACATTGCAGTCTTATAATGCGAGAAAGACTACAGATTCTTTTAGAATAACGACAATGTATCTCGGCCTCGTCTCGACTCGCGCGAGCATGTAAAAAGCTCTCACCTCGCTAGTATGAAGCGCGCGGCCACCGCGCCGAAGCCGCGCCAGAGCCGTGCTTTTTAAATGTGGGATGTCCTTAAGTCACCGTAAACCGTAAGATGGTAAATACCGATAGTTTACGATAGGTACCCGTATCGACAAATTGTGAATGTTTGTACCATGTCGTTGGTTTATGATCTGGTACTTTCAATTAATTCAAATTACCAAGGTCTGAACTTCGAACCATTTAGGTATTTATTTTCAGCACGGTTTGACACCGGTTTTCTCTAAGGCCGTGGTACTGCGGTTGGACTGGCCCAATTGACTTTAGAAACTAGTGTCAATTCATGGGTGGAATGGAAGCCTCGAAATAGATGGCTAAATGTAAAAAATGCTATTTGTTTAGTGGTAATTGTTCAAGTATTTCAGAATGTAATTAAAATATTTATTATGTACTAGCTGACCCGGCAAACTTCGTACCGCCTAAAAAAAATGTTTCTCACCTTTTAAACCTTCCCTGGACTTCCACGAACATTTCAAGACCAAAATTAGCCAAATCGGTTCAGCCGTTCATGAGTTTTAGCGAGACTAACGAACAACAATTCATTTTTATTTAAATAGAAGATTAGTAGCATGCTATAAGGTATATACATAATTAGATACTGAGCCGCGGCGGGTTACCGGGGCTCCGGCTCGAAGTGCAGGAATAAGAACGAGGTGGTTTTTAGTCAGTAAGAGTCTGACACTCCCTCTCGCCTCACCCGGACGCGCAGACATTCGATGATTTTCCCCCCTCACAAAAAGCAGACTACTAACTAGACACAAAAAACGCCTTAAAATGCAACTAATGATAAAAGGTAAAGATATTGCTATTTATTTGACAGCAGGGCTAATATTAAATGTACCTAAAATAAGTACAATAAGTAACCCACTGAAAAGTACTAAAATTAAAAGTGTCTTGCATTTTGTGTTGGGTATTTTGTACATCACTGGTCCACGTCCTCACAGGAAACCAGCGTTAAACAATTTTTAACCGTGTTAATACTTGCTTCTTCTCAAATTGTTGGCCGGGTCCCTGGAAGTGGACACATATATACCTGAGTGCTTATTTACTTTCAGGCCGTTTCTACTTTACGTGAGTTTCCACGACCCGCATAGGTGCGGTCACACGGACCCGCAGTTTGGTCCGTTCTGCGAACGATTCGGTTCCGGCGAGGAGGGTATGGGGCTTATACCGGACTGGCATCCTATTTACTATCAATGGGAGCAAGTGCAGCTGCCTTACTTCGTACAGGTAATGACGAGCCTGCTACCAGAGTCAGACCTTAGCTAGTATATAGCCTATATTTTCTGATGGCGAGCAAATTACACAGGTGTCCCTGAAGTCGACTTCTAAATGGCACCAGGTAATCGGAAAGGTTCCAACAGTTATCAGAAAATTGGAAAAACAATTGAAGTCATATAGTTTTTACAGACTTAAAAAAAAGAAGGAGGTACCATGTTCGGCCGATTGTTTTTTTTTTTTGTATACTTTGCGCAAATCGGGATTTGAATTACGAACTGTTACAGTTAGATGGGTTTTAATGCCAAGGTGTCCTAAATGACATCTATTAGGTTATGGACCACATTTGACTAGAATTAAATTAAAGTAGGTGCTTAGTAAGTAAATCAGTCCACGGGGTGTACCCCGTCCCCGTGCCAGTCTTTGGACTCTTGTTGCTACATTGGGTACATTCCTTAATAAAAATATAAATTATCTCGGTTATTTAATACAATAAAAAAAAATAAAAGTAATCACACTTTCATTAATTGATTTTATGACCAATTTAATTGTAGTATTATTTAAGGAATGCCGCTGAAATAACGTGACGTCACAATACACAATCTCGTACGTAAAGAAAACTGATTTTTGACAGTTCGAAAAGTATTGAATTTGACTAGATGGAAAGTACCCAATACCTACGTTATCCTGAATAATACTTGAATAATAAATTCTGAGTCAAAGATTTGCAATACTGATGTCAATACACAGGGTTGTCAATATTAATGTTGATTTTGTTGAGAAATGACTAATTATTTCTTTATGCTTTCTACCAGCTACTTTCTACGCACAATTAGGTGATCCCCATGTTTTTCGTCCCGTGGAAATTTAGAGAAATCTCTTAGTACGGGGAGTACTCCACTCCTCAAATACATACACGCGCAAGTTTCAGCTTACATTTCAATTAATCCTTGATTAGGCACTTTTGAAAGGTTTTCCCGATGGGTTACACTATGCGGTTCTTCAAGAACTCGGAAAGTGCACATCTAAATCTACAAAATTGCCGATTACACCTCTCCAGTAAAAAAGATAATTACGCAATAACTGCACTAATAGTAATATATTTCAACAATGTTTGTTTAGAGAGTGGTCTTCTTTTTGTTTAACCATCTTTGAAATTTTGCTGCCTCGGGAAATTGGTCGGTTTGTTCCTCCCTGGCTACTGGGTGATCTGGGACATTATCAGTATGAGGATAACGTTGTGTGATGCACAGGACACGGAAGCAGCTCGGAGAGACATCGCGGCACAGTACACGACCATGTCGCGGCTAGACCAAGGTACAACATCCTAGCAGAGCAGTACATTTATCAGCCGGTGCGTGGCGGCAATATCTAACATACCTTACTTCAACAGGAGTAGGACTGGTGCTGCAGGAGTTACAAAGCGCTGGACACGCAGACGACACTCTCGTTATATATACGTCAGACAACGGCATCCCGTTCCCGTCCGGCCGCACCAACATGTACGACCCGGGACTACGCGAGCCCTTGATCATCGCCTCGCCGGACCCGCACGCGAGGAAGAATGAAGCATCGCATGCGATGGTCAGCCTGCTGGACGTCATGCCTACAGTACTGGACTGGTTCAACATTCCGTTCCCGCAGGAGACAAATGATATATCGCAGCCGGATACAGCAAAGAGCTTACTTCCAATTTTAGAAAAAGGTAGTCAGTGATACTATCTGATAACATATACAGCGTCGGTATGGTAAACCAACATTAGGCAGGTGCACAGTGCATACATACATTGACATAATTATATGTGGCTGTGTTACAGAGCCTCCGCATTCGGAGGACGAGGCAGTGTTCGCGTCGCAGACTCACCACGAGGTCACCATGTACTATCCCATGAGAGCAGTGCGCACGCGCCGCTATAAGCTTATACACAATCTCAACTTTGGAATGCCTTTTCCTATAGACCAGGATCTGTACGTTTCACCAACTTTCCAGGTGAGTCTATATGATTCATTTTAATCACGCCTACGGCGCTCTGGAAAGGCGCCATTCATCTTTTAATAAAATAAAATCCAAAATAATGTGAACTCGATTGAATCACTGAATTACGTTCTCAGGACCTGCTGAACCGCACGGCGGGCAAGCAGCCCCTGCCGTGGTACAAAACCCTCGCCCAGTACTACTACCGGCCGCAGTGGGAGCTGTACGACGTCCGCGCTGACCCCGCGGAGACCAGGAACTTGCACGGTAACTGCAGTACACAGAGTGGCCAGTAGCACATTAACACATGCAGGAACACTGAGTGTACGGCGCTGTCCGCAGGCAAGCCGGCGCTGGCGGCCGTGGAGGCGGCGCTGCGCGCGCGGCTGCGGCGCTGGCAGCGCGCCTCCGCCGACCCGTGGCAGTGCGCGCCCGACGCCGTGCTCGAGCGCGCCGCCTGCCGCCCTCTGCTGCATCGCTAGGACACGTCTTTACTTTTACACGCCCTAGCTCATTATTATACACAATAATACTCACTAGACTAGTTTATTTTCACAACAGATGTTTTTTCATGTGCTTAATTATAAGAAAATTGTAGCCCACATTGTAATCCAAATTCGATATGTAACTTGATATGGATCGGGGCGTTGGACAGAAACACTACACACAAGTCACACAACTAATGTCATTCTTTATACTATTTAAGAAATAAACAATAGTGACATGTACTGCGGCGTTGTCTCTCGCAGTCGCAGCAGCTGGGTTACTCTGTAACTTTCAATTGAAAAGTCATTGCTCGAGCGAGAGTATTCTCACAAACTCACAACCAATGCCATGGCGGACCGCGATCGAATTCACTTCGATCTTTCGCATTGACAGTTACAGAATAACCTAGCAGCTGTCTGGGCTCGCTACTGCAACGACATTGACAGCTTGAGGGATCTCGACATAGCAAATAAAACTACGTCATATAGATGTTTGTGTCTATTTGTTGATTTCAACGTTATACATAGATACGAGTACACATTATTTAAACATTAAAATTACATTAACAAGTACCGCGCAGGCAACTTGTTTCTTGTATGTCTCCCACACTTCTATAGTCTAATAACTATATAGGAACGTTTCTCTAAAGAGAACGTAAGTATTTACTTTACAGCTCAGAAGAATCGCAATTATAAATACACTGGCTTCTGCCCGCGTCTTGTGCGATACAAAGTACTCACAACACACAGGCATGTGTTGCTCCAGACCATAATCTTGCGGCACGGCGGACGGTGAGCATGGTGGTTTTTAGTCAGTAAGAGTCTGACACTACTACTAGCGTGATGTTTTATAGCCTATAGCCATTCTCGATAAACACAAAAAGAATTATTCAAATCAGACTTGTAGTTACGGAGATTAGCGCGTTCAAACAAACAAAAAAACAAACTCTACCGCTTTATATAATAGTATCAGATGTAAGATAAAAGACAAATACATACTTGCATCTTGCTTAGAAACCAGGGGTAAACATATGCCTATCTCACTCACTCAAGTCACAAGATTGATCGACATTCAACGTACTTTCATTGAGCGTTGCCATAGTTTAAGTGTTGTTAGTGCGTCAAACATTCGTCGTCATTCTTAATTATAAAGATTATACTTACACACAAAAAACACAGCCGAATTGATATCGTCCTCCTTTTTGGCCAATCGGTTAAAAGTTATTCCTTTTAATTTAATACAATTCCCTGTTCTACAATTGCAATATTTAACAACGCATTTCCCCTTGTTCGAACATTTATGGCGCGCTTTGGGCTTGTCAACGTTACAACTGTGATTGTCAACGTTACAACTGTGCTTGTCAACGTTACAAATGTGCTTGTCAACGTTACAACTGTGCTTGTCAACGTTACAACTGTGCTTGTCAACGTTACAACTGTGCTTGTCAACGTTACAACTGTGCTTGTCAACACTGAATTGATTTTTTGATATGATATTTGTTTGATAGACGTTAGTCTGTAAAAATGTTGGCATTAACTCGTCGAGTACCGGTTTTGCAGACACAATTATAGAACAATAGGTTGCGGTCACCGGTGACCGCTTGGTATTTGACAGTTTAAGTTGGCTGTTTAGCATCTCTGGCCTCGAAAGGGGCCCCATTTCAAGGCCTTCTTGGAACATGTCTTGTATGCTTCTTGAAACACTTCGTTAAATCAGCATCGTGTACAAAGTAGCTTAGCCCTGGGCACGCCTCCACAAGTCCGAGGCCATGTGTTTTCATGGCCGCGGGAACGCGCCACCTCCATTGGGTCCCAAATAATGGCGGGAGGGGTTACCATCGGCGTCGAGACGACGATGAAGTACCTGGGACTCGTCCTCGACAGTCGGTGGAATTTCATTGAGCACTTCCGACGTTTGGCTCCAAAGTTGGCGAGGGCGAGGGCGGCGTTTAAGCGCATCCTCCCCAACCTCGGGGGGCCAAACGCCTCCTGCCGGAGGTTATACGCCGGGGTCGTGCGGTCCATGGCCCTTTACGGCGCCCCTGTGTGGGCGCCGAACTTGCTGCGGCGTCCCGCTCGGACGCTGCTCATGTCACAGAGGGTCATGGCGATCCGAATGGTGCGTGGCGGGATGAGCTCCGGCGCGATCTCATGGCGGAATGGCAGCAACGACTGTCGCAACCGAGGGCTGGGCTCGCTGCCATTGTAGCGGTAAGACCCCTCTTTGAGGAGTGGCTTGAGAGACGCTACGGCGTCCTCTCACCTACCGCCTGACGCAGGTCCTCACCGGACATGGAAGTTTCGGGAGGTACCTGTGTCTGATAGGGCGGGAGGAAACGCCCGGGTGTCATCACTGCGAGGACCGCCCTGAGGACACGGTGGAACACACGGTGGGAGAATGCCCTTCGTGGGCTGAGCACCGCCGTGTCCTCAGGGAAGTGATCGGCGATGGCGACCTCTCGCGTCCGGGCCTAGTGCAGGCCATGATGCGGAGCGAGGGGGACTGGGATGCCGTCTCCTCCTTTTGCGAAGCAGTCATGCTAGCTAAGGAGGAGGCGGGACGCGTGAGGCAGCGAAGCGCTGCCTCCTCGCAACCCAGCCATCGCGAAGGACACACCGGGCGTCGGGGATCGCGGGACGATCTCCGGCCACCGTAAGCGCGGGCCTGCGGACGGCGAGCATGGGTGGCTCCCCGTCCGACCAGAAACAGACCCGAGCGTACGGCGCGTCGCGTTCCGCGCGCGCCTCAAAGAGCCATCAGACCACCACAGATGGGGCCCAATACGGCCGATGCCGATTCGGAGTCGCGGAGAACCTAACGGGTAACCGGGGCTCTAACTCGACGTGCAGGAGAAGGAACGGGGTGGTTTTTAGTCAGTAAAAGTCTGACACTCCCTCCCGCCTCACCCAGACGGGAGCAGTCATTCGATGACTTTCCCCCCCTTAAAAAAAAAATACGTTTAAAGGTGATCATAGCCAGTCGACCTAATATTGTGAATCTCCACTAGTGTTGTTAACATTATCGTAATAAAAGTATATCAGTGTACGAGAGTTATCCATTTCATTATACAGTCCACTTGCTCTCCACAAACCACCTAGCTCGTCGAGGACTGATCCACAGCCTGATCCCTCCGAGCCCGCACAGCACTCCTTTAAGATGACTACTTTTTTCACTAAGCAACAAATGAACAAAGTGCAATTTAGCTCGCTCACGCGTTCAATACCTATTGAGTTGTTCAGCTAAACATTGCCCTTTACTAACGCATAACGCGCTTTGTTGCGCGGTGTGACATAATATAGCGCTAGGGTTGTTTACTTTTACCCTCTACTATAATCTTACTACTCTGTCAAGAAAGTACCGGGAAAAGATCAATAATACACAAAATGTCTGTTATTCATTCAAATTTTATCACTTTCAAAATATACTCCTTTAGCAACGATACACTTGCGTCAACGAATAATCCGTCATCCAAACTATGTGAGTTTGTGTTCGCTTGTTACTCAGTCATATTAAAACGACTGAAGGGAATGAAATTCGGAACAGAGGTAGATTATGGATTGAAGTAATACATAGCATTTTACCCCTGGGATCGCAGGCAAAGCCGCTGGTAGAAGCTAATTAGTTAATAATAGTAGGTACCCACTACTCCACACGGCGCTACATGACATTGTATCTTATATTCGATATGTATGCATGTACATACATGGTCAAATAAGTAGATAGGTATAAATTAAAACTTTGCAATAATAATATTTTCAGTTTCACATTTTGTATAAATTAATGAGTTCGTTCGGAGCCTTGGCCTGAGGTCCATTGTCTACGTAACCACACGTCACACGCAGCATCATCATGATGATTCCAAGACGAATGCTTGCATCATGCGTACAAAAATTGTGTCTACTAAGCGTCATTTGACGAATGCATACAGCCTGTGTGACGCAACGTTGCCGCTAGGTGTAAATTGAATAAAATGTGAGTATGACGTGCGATTACGTGGATAGTAGGCTTGACTAATAAAATGGTATTAGAATAGGTACAACGATAATACTGATGGTGTATCACTTATTGCCTACAACGATCAACGAGTGGTCACTCATGTCGCTACATACTGGCGGCTCGAGCTCTCCGACATGAGACAAGTCGTGCGTTGCATTTAAATACCACCACGAGTCAATGACCCGTTAGCCGACAGAGGAGTTCTCGTATCTTTGCTGGACATTACATACATTTTTTTAGTGGTGTAATTCATGCGTAGACTTCTCCCGTCTCGGGTGAGAGAATGTTAGGATCTTACAAACCAATACCACCCCGTTCGTACTCGTTCGTACCCTGTCAGCCAGTCCCGATGAACCGTGCGGTTGTCCGCAGCTCCGGAACGTTCCCGTGTCCAATGGTAAACTAACTTCTTGTAACGCACAACTGTGTGGTCAACAATGTTATGAACGCGAGCTATATTACTGTGTATTACGATACGAGTGTAAACATCCGTGTTTATATCGGCATCTACAGACAGAGCAGCCGAGAAGCTGACAATTCAGAAAGACCAGTCGCTGCCCCCAAAGTATTTTTATCGACAAGTAACGATATTACAGCAGAATTAAACTACTGCTGCAAAATAAAAGTAGTTGGCCTACTTACTACACGCGCCAGTCGTTCATACATTGACTTATCTTTAGATTTACGAACTTCATAACACGTACAACGAGCCACTTCATGTAGTTTGCTCACTGCAGTTATCATCTGGACTCAATAAAGATGGCCGACTGTACCACCCACCGCCGGAACCCTGTAATAAATAGTACGAACAATGAGGACACCGCCAGGCGCCAGCGACGTAGTCCATCGAATATAGGATAATCTCTGTGGCAGTTCTGAGTAAATCACCCCCATGAAGTCTTGACTTCAGTAGTACCGACATGGCACAGTACCTACACATTTTTGTCATACTATAAGAGGATGTCGATTGGATTAATGATGCGCGTAGAATCATCGTGAGTACATTATCGATATTTTATGTATCGATACTTAGTTCAACATTTATTTTATATTCAATATTGTGGTATATGTATTTTATTATAATAATGTTATGTACATGATCTAAAATAATAGTGATTAAATAAGATTCAACTTCTCACTAACTTTAGATCTCGGGAGAAGATACGCCGCTTTTGGCTCTATAACCGACTTACGTTAGCTGAAGATATTTATTAAATTAAATTAAAATATTTTTCACGTAGTAGGAGATGTCTAGCGACGTCCCATACTACAAAACCAACAAATATATACACGAGGATCTGATCGCCATCGTCAAACAAGAATTCGCTAGATACAGCGAGAGCTATCAGACGAGAATATCAACTCATGTCCACTCTAGATTGAAACGGCATAGTGTCCCTACACTTACCGTCAGATTTGGTGATACAAGGGAATTTCTTCTGCTGTTGACTAGACAGAAATCAAGTAACCCCATCTGTATGGCTTATTGTGTTGACATGGAGTGCCAAGGTAGAGAAATCAATAAAAAAATTGTTAAATAAGCATCGATATTTTTATGGGATAAGCCGGCAAACGAGCAGACGGATCATCTGATGGTAAGTAGTCGGCGATGGTAAGCATTCGATGATTTTCCCCCCTTAAAAAAAAAAAGGAGTCGGCGTCGCCCAAGGCGTGCAACAAGTGCATTATCGGCCTATAAAAGTAATTTAAATTTTATATATTTTAACAACCGAGGGATGTCAGTTTGGCATAATATGTCACAGAGATCTTCCTATATTTTATGAAGTACGTATATTATGACCGCGACTGCGCGGCAGCCGGTCT